CATGGCTGCCACTGGCTCATCATAGAGACTTCCTTGACATAAATCTCACTTCCTCAGACTTTCCTAACTATTATACCCATACAGGTACTCTTCACTTCCTATCTTCAAAGCCCCATCATCTATGGAATTGTTTTACTATTTTTTATGATACTTCTCTCCTTGGGTGTTTTTTCTTTTTTGTTACTTTTTAATATTATTTTATGTGTATGGGTGTTTTACTTGACTGTAAGTTTCTGCACCACATGCATGTAGTACCAACAGAGACCAGGAGGGAACATCAGATCCCCTGAAACTAGAGTTACCTTACTTAGATATATGGTTGTGAACTACCATGTGGCTGCTAGGAATCACACCCAGGTCCTCTGGAAGAACAACCAGTGCTCTTAACCCCTAAGCCTTCTCTCCAGCCCCTCCTACTCCCACTCCTCCAGATCCTTTTCTTTCAAACTTTCCTTCAAGAATCCTTAGATATTTTTGTGCTGCCTATGAAATTGAAGTGTCATAGTGAAACAATGTTTTATGCACTGTAGATAGCCACAAACAATTGGAGTATCTAAGGATTTTTCACAGTACCTCTTTGGAAGTAATCTCACTACTGCTAAGAATGTGCTAGAACACAAAACATTTTCTGGGCTGGAGGTGTGGTGCATACCTTTAATCCCAGCACTTGGGAGGCCAAGGCAGGTGGCCGATCTTTGTGAGTTCGAGGCCAAACTGGTCTACAGAGCTAGTTCCAGGACAGCCAGCACTACACAGAGAAACTCTGTCTAAAAAAACAAACAAACAAACAAATAAATAAAGGAGAGAGAGAGAGAGAGAGAGAGAGAGAGAGAGAGAGATTGATTGATTGATTGATTGATTTCTTGGAAGCCCTATTCACTGCCTATCCCCAGGACTAGACTTGAAGAATGGTAGATGATGCTTCATGAACATCAGTGATGCAGTTGAAAACTCAGACCCTAGAGCAGAGAAGAGATGTTCATTGCAGAATTAGAGAGGTGAGCAGGGAAGGGGGGATTCCAAAATAGAGTCTCATGGGCGGGTTGAGGAAGAAGGGTGTGAGGAGGAGTGAAGGCTGTAACATGTGAAGGCCCTCATGTGCATGGCCATGACTACTGGAAGCCCTGTAGTGTTGGAGGGAAACATCTTTAAAGGAGTCCTAGACTGGACTTCTTCTGGGACGATAGTTGGGAGAACTGGAGTCTTAGTTTAGACTCTGCTTCAATTCAGACCCATTGTGGGTTGACCCTCCAACCTTACTCAGCTTGGGATGGAGTTCATGACTGTTGTGGAGGTCGCTAGCCATTGTGTCCCCAGCTACCCTAAAGCTCCCAAGTGCATCTCCAAGGCAGCAGTGAATTCTCTGTCACTTAACTGTAGCCCAGGTTGAGAGTTTCACAGACTCTGCTCAGGCCTGGGTTTCCTGGGAGCATCCATGACTTCAGTCTGCTACCTACTACGTAGTAAAATCAGTGGAATCCGAGGAGCAATGAGGGCTTATCTCTGCTTTTCCAGACCTGGGTGCTCAGCAGTCCTGTTTATTTACCCAGAGCAGCCGCCCGCTGAGAAAATGGCTGTTTGTTTCCAAGTGTGTCGTGTGAACCATGGACTAAATATACCCACACCACAGCTTCTCCAGCCCCCGCCCGCTCGGGAACAGCACGCCCCATTCTGCTCAGCTCTCTGCAAAAGCCATTGCCAGGATCTACGCCCTTGAAAGCTCTGCTCCCCCACCCCACCCCGGGAGAAGGAGCTCTGAGCAAGAGCACCCTGGCCAAGAATGCATCTTAGGAACAGAGACAGGAGTGGTCAGTGCCTTATTCTCTGCGTCCCCTCCACCCTGGAATGACTGACTGTTCCTGGACAGTGAACGCTTTGTGCCCTTGTGGGGACAGGGCCTGTTTACTCCAGCCCAGCCCCAGAGCCAAAAATTTCCTGTGGCTGCAGCCTTCTACTTCAGTAAAGTTCCAGTGTGGAAGACTCTATTTTGGTGATCATTTCAGTGTCCCTGGTTCTTTATGGGACATTTGGCCCCTTGAAATAACAGACTTTTCTAGCTGTGGCCTTTTTTCTCCTGTCCTTCCCACAGCCCTGGATCTTTATGTTGTCTTACCTGGGCCTACTTAACTGACTGGCCTCAAACTCCTCCCATCTCCCCCATGATGGGGTTATAATATGCACCATTCCAATTTTATGCAGGGTTCCAAGGGCCCAAGACATCATGCAATGCTAGCCTGACATTCTGCCAACTATGCTACATCCTCAGAGTTTTCTTCTTTGCCAAGATGCACAGAGACTGGCCAGGATGGATAAGACAGGAAGGCACAGCCAGTCGCTGCTTTCTTGCCGGTTCCTCAGCTCCACTGTCACAGTTCCTTTGCCCCGAAACCCTTATGGCACTGCAGTGTGACAGGTTTCCCTTTACCAACAGATGGAAGCTGGAACAGCAGTCACTCTGATTTGCTAAAGATGGATCTCAGGGCCTCATGCATGCCATATGCTCTACAGGACCCAACAGCCAATGTCCTACACTCCTGTGAAGTCAGGCAGTCCCTGCAGTCTGATGACTCTTCTGCCTGTTAGTTAATGTTAAATTCCATGCCTTAAGGCTCAGGCATCTTATCTAGCTAGAAATGAGATTCTCATCTACCTCTGAGAGCCCTAAGAGAGGATGGAACAATACCTGAGACTTAGACGTGCAGTATGTCTCTTCTCCCTGTGTGGAGTCATGTGTTGCTTAACATCCCAGGGATAAACTCAGAAATGTGTCATTAGGCCACTTCATTGCGTGACTGTCAGAATGTACTTAGAAACCAGGAAGGTAACGTAAGAGAACATGATGCAATGCAGAGAAATGGCAAAAACAGAAGGGGTTGGAGGTCGCTACCAGCCTAACTTGCCCATCCTTGTGTAGTGAGCTTTTTCTTGTAAGTAGTAGAATGCTCAGTTATTACCACTATCAAGTATGCTACACATGACACAGAACTGTGTATTCCGGGGTTGTTTGTTTGTTGTTTGGGGGAGTTGTTTGTTTTTGAGACAGTGTTTTGCTAAGTGCATCAGGCTGGCCTCAAACTTATAGAAATTCACCTGCCTAGCCAGGCAGTGGTGGCACACGCCTTTAATCCCACCACTTGGGAGACAGAGGCAGGCGGATCTCTGTGAGTTTGAGGCCAGCCTGGTCTACAAGAGCTAGTTCCAGGACAGGGTCCAAAGCCACAGAGAAACCCTGTCTTTAAAAACAAAAAACAAAGAGAAAAGAAATTCACCTGCCTCTGCGTCCTGAGTACTGGGATTAAAGGCCTGTGCCCAACTGTGCCTCATTGCTGCACTGTCATGTGACTGGCAGCCCAGCTAGGCTTGTTTCCCCCAACATCACAAACACATAAGGAAAACATCTCATTAAAAGAGCTAAAACCTTACAGGCTCTGTTTTAATGTTGCAGGTCTGTGTGTACATGCACATGTGTTTGTGTATGTAATTGAAATATTGTTATGTAACACAGGACAGTTTATAGAGCATCAGGTCTGTGCCAGACCCTATTCTGAGCACAAGACAGGATCTCAGCCCTTGACTAAACAGATCTAGTACAGAAGGCAAATCACAGCAAAACAGTAGTGTACCATGTGGTCATGAGAAGCTGAGGAGGTGGGGGTGGCCACTCAACCTCAGTGTTCCCAGTACACAAGAGACTGAGGCAGGAGGTTTGAGAATGGCCAGCTCCTGTGGACAAGGAGAGGAGAAAAGAAAGAGTGTGCTGAGAAGAAGACATACAAGTTTGGGGTGGACACTGCTCCAGACTGTGGTCAGGGGTGTCTGCAAAGAGTAGGGAGAAGAGAGACTCATTGAACTATATAGCTGTGGGAAAGAAAACAGACTGCTCTGGTGTGAGGAAACCTTGGGAAAATGGGGAGTTGATGCATTGTGGTCAGAAAGGACTTTCCCATCTGTCTGCTGCTTCCGGTTCTTTTCCCTAAGAGGATCGGCAGCTTTGCCATGAGGGCTCATGGCTCACTGCTGCTTCTCCAACTGCGTTATAATATTGATCTTTTCAGGTCAGTCTGCTCAGAGCTTGTGCCATTCTGCTGCTAGGTGCCAGGGATGCAAAGATGCTCTGCTAAGGACAGGGGAAGCTACTAGAGTGAAAGACTGCATGCGGTGTAGTCAGCTGGGCAGTGTTTTTAAGCAGTCTTCTCCACAAAGCATGGCCTGGGGTGGTTGGTGAGGGATGTCGGATAAGAAGTGGATCAGGCTGCATCCCGAGTTAGCACACTGGGAGATGGGGCACAGAGTCTCCTGGAGATGGAAGTCCTACGTGGAGCCTCTATTTAGTCAGTTGGAACCAGATGGAGACATAGCTCCATAGAGGCAAAACTGCATGGGCTCTAAAGTCAACATTCAATTCTGTCATTCCACAGAACAGTGTACACTGATTTCTAGGGGCCACACACCAAGTTTGGATTCTGGTTCTATCAGTGTCCAAGTAGGGGTGGCCTGAATTGAGTTCCTTGCCTTCCAGAGTCCCAGCTGCCTGGTCTGTATGTGAGGAAGAGACAGTCTTTTGCAGACTGCTGGGTACAAGGCTATGACCTCCTTGTGCTGGCTGGCCCACTGAGTTATGTTCTCCTCTGATGACTAAGCTTCATGACAGAGCTATTGCTTACCTCCTTCTGGGGCCTGTACTGACAGCCCTTGGATGGGGACAGGACTGGCCTCCCATATTATTGATTGAGTGATTGATTGAGTGATTGGTTTTGTTTGTTGCTTCTTGAAGCAAAATGCGTGTTCTCTGTACCTGTGTTCTCAGCAGTAAGTTAGGTTGGACTTACCCAGCTGGGGCTCAGAAAGGCAGCCTTTAACCTTTCTCTGAGCATGGTGGGCACTGGTGCTATCTATGGCTTTCAACTCACTAAGGCCATTGCTTGCAGGTGACCCTTTCTCCTACCCCATTCTCTTCAAGGATTCACACAGTGTCTACCTTTCCCTTTCTGTCCCTACAGGACACTTTTGTGGAACTCTACGGGAACAACGCAGCAGCTGAGAGCCGGAAAGGCCAGGAGCGCTTCAACCGCTGGTTCCTGACGGGCATGACTGTGGCTGGTGTGGTTCTACTGGGCTCGCTCTTCAGTCGGAAGTGACCAGACACTGACCACCCACACACCTCTCGCCTCCTACCCTGCCCCTACCACAACTCTCTTTTCAGCCACCATTGCTACCAGGAGAACCACTACATGCAACTCACGCCCCTCCCCCATCACAGGGTTGGGCCTAGACGGAGTCCCCTTGCAGTTAGCTTACTAGAACCTACCACGCTTCTGTGAGAGCCACCTTCCCCCCACATCTCAATTCACTTGGCCTCAAAATTCACAAGATTTTCCCCCAAATCAGTCCCTTAGGAGGCTGGAAGGAGAGGGAGGGGGTGCGCTAGAGGGAGGAGAGGGCCTGCCGGGCTGGCAAGACCCTTATTACTCCTGAGCCTCCTAGGAATGCTTTCTTGGCAGGGAACTGGGAAGCTTTCTAACCCTTTTCCCCAGAAAGAGACTAGATTGCCTTGTTTTTGATGTGTGTGGCCTCAGAATTGATCATTTCCCATCCCACTGTGTCCCTGACCCCCTTCTTCCTATCTCTACCCCCAAGAGCCATTTAGAGGCCCCTTTTGACTATTAGAAATTCAGGCTGCTTGGGATAAAGGGGCAAGTACCAGAACCTCCTCCCCGCCTGTGGCCTGGCCAAACTCCTGGTCTGAATGTTCTCCTGAGGGCTCTGGCTAAAGGCCAGCCCAACCCAGGAGGAGGAGCTTAGCTGCAGAAAGTCCTCCATCCTAGAGCTAGAGTGGCTCTGGCAGCTTAGCACCACCCTAGACCTTCACCACCCTCCCCTGGCTCCCGTGACCATGACTGAGGGACCAACTGGGCCCAAGATAGGTGCCCCAGAGCTGTTAATGACTTCAGCTGCCTCACTTCCTGCAAGGTCAGCCTGTGGCATCTTTGCCTTGGGTGCTGGCCACAGGGTCCAGGGACACTGGCCTCAGCCCAGAAGTAAAGGGAAGCTATGGGAGCAGCTTTGGGAGCCCCGGGGCCTTCCCTACCTCAGGCAGGAAGGGCAGGAAGGAGAGCCTGATGGCACAGGTGAGGAGGGCTGCAAGGGCTTGTCCTACCCAGTCTTTGTGCCCTGCGCCCACCTGGCTTGGGCAGCAGGGCTGCCAAGGTCAGAGTGGCTTGGCCAGGAGCCCTTTAGGTCTCTCTCCTCTGCTCCACCCTTGGCCTGTCTCATCCCTGGGGGTCCCAGCTCAGCTCTGGCTACCCTGGGCTCTCTGCTGTACATATTCAAGACTAGTTTTTATTCCTTGTGAAGATGATATACTATTTTTGTTAAGCGTGTCTGTATTTATGTGTGAGGAGCTGCCGGCTTGCTGTGCGCGTGCACGTGGAGAGCTGGTGCCCAGAGACTGACAGCCTGATGCTCCCTCCCTGCCCTTGCCTGGGGAAGCCCATTGGGGGTCCTGGCTTCTGAGGGGCACCTGTCCCTCCCCTCCCCCTACACTTGTTCCAGCTCTTTGAAATAGTTTGTGTGAAGGTGAAAGTGCAGTTCAGTAATAAACGGTGTCGACTCTGTGAACCACAGCCTTGCTCTGTGCCTCTTGGGTAAGGGAGAAGCTGTTGGCTTCTGGCTCTGCTGCCCTAGGGATGGAGTATCTCACCAAGTTCCTTCTGTCCCAAATTTCTTTCTGTTCTTCCCATTTCTGTACATAACAAGAATAGGAGTGTTAACTGATCAACTGCTGGTCCCCTGTGTGAACAGAACAAAGTCCTCCACCTGTTTCTACCTTCCTAGTGCTGGAATTAAAGGTGTGTGCCACCACTGTGTGAACCCACCCTGCAGAATTTTTTTAAAGGTGACACAGAAACCAGGCATAGTGACATACTTCTTTAATCCCAGCACTCAGGAGGCAGAGGCAGGTTGTTGATCTCTGTAAATTTGAGGCCAGCCTGGTTTACATATCAAGTTCCAAGACAGCCAGAGCTACGTAGAGAGACCTTGTCCCAAAGACAGAAGTGACAAGTTTGAGAGTTAGTAAAACTTGAGTAGCAAACTCTGGGCTCTGTGGTAGCATGTAGCTCAGTAGCTTTGATTCCAACACTTAGGGGGCAGAGGCAGGTTAATTTGAGTTTAAGGCCAGTCTGGTCGGCATAGAGTTCCAGGCTGTTGTGGACTACATAGTGAGACCTGTCTCAAAAGACGAGCCTTGATCAGAGTCCCTATAACTCAAGAGGCTAATGGGACACATCGGTACCCAGGGGAGCCAAGACTTGAAGGATGAGACAGAGTTAACTAAGGCAGGAACTCGGGCCCTTCTTTGGACTGAAGGAAAGCTAGTGTGTCTAGCACTGAATAGCCTTGTGCTTAGAAGCCAGATTGACAGGAGGTAAGGGACATGGATTTGGCCCTGGTCAGGAAGCCTATGATCCTTAGATCTCTGGAAATATCTCTAGCTGATATGAGAACATTCTAGAAGGGAGTTGGGAGAAGGCCCAGAGACCAGTAAGAAGCCATTGATTGATTATAACTCTGAGTTTAGGGATTGTGTGACCTGAGTCACTGTAGACCTTGTGACATTGCACACTGCTCCTGAAATCCATATGACAGCCTACTCAGAGGAATGGGTATATGGTACAACCCCTCACACCATTGGTCACACTTGAATGGGGTGACCCCTCCATAGGCAGCCACCCTGCTTTCAAGTTCATGTCGCTGTGGCTGGAGGTGGGAAGGAACCCCATACTGGATGGTTTTCTGAGAAGGCCACATGATGGGACCTAAAAGCCATCCCCGAACCATGGGGCTCTTACTCAGTGCCAGTGACATCTGACTTCTGCAGGACAGCTTTGTCTACGATCCTCCCACCTTGCTCTGCTCACTAGAGGACTTCTGCACTCCCATCACTTGGGTATGGAGCTCCCACCAAAGCCTCCCGCCCCCACCCACTTCTTCCTCTGGCAGCTGCAGGCCTGTCAGTACCATCGTTGGCTGCCTACCCCTCCCCCCAGGAGTGGAGCTGCTCCCTACCCTAGCCACTCTAGGACCCCTTTCCAGAGTTTCCATGTGCTTCCAGAAACATCTTTCACATCGACAAATACACATATAAAATATGCTTTGATTCTACATACTAATTTTTGGGTATATTCTTGGTTTATGTTATTTTTGAAACAGGGTCTCACTGTACACAGCTCAAGCTGTTTTGGAATAGATTCTCCTCCCCAAATGCTAGGGTTATAGGCAAATGCTACAAATGTTTGGTATGAATAGCCCTTCTGTTTTCTTCTGTATAACCTGTGGAAGTTTCTCTACCCACACATAAATGCCAGTGCACTCATTGGCAGCTCCAGCCATTTGCAACTTGGAATATATTAATCCTTTAAAAAAAAAAAAAAGGCTATATGGTATTCCTCAAAATTTGAGGAGTCCAAAATTTGGGAGGTTGAAATATGGTCTGTCTCTGTCTCCTAGGCTGGCCTGGAACTAGAAATCATTCTCCTGCCTCTGTCCTGCAAGTATGAAGATTAAATATGTGAGCCGCCACATCCGGCTTTCACTAAACTTTTATCCTGATCCCTAACTGGGGAGTCCCAATGCTAGGCTGTCCTCACACTTTTGGAGTCACACTGGTGTGAGTCCCAGTGCCAGACAGACATGTAATCACACTGTTGGAGTCACAATGGCTGAAGGCCCCTGAGCTTCCCTTTTAAAGGAGGCAGGGAAGGACAACTTGGTTTTGGCTCCATAGCCTCAACTTTTTAAAAAGATTTATTTTTAGGGACTGGAGAGATTGCATGCATGTGGTATGCACAAAACCCTTCCTCACTCAATCTTCACATCATATAACCAGAGTGTGGTCACACATCTCTAATCCCAGTACTAGGAAGTAGAAGCTGGAGGGTCAGAAATTCAAGGTGCCTCTCAACTACGTAGCAAGTTCCAGGGCAACACATGAGACTCTTTCTTAAAAGAAAAAAAAAAAGACAAAACAGGAACAAACAAAAGAATAATAGTTTTGGTTTTAGATTTTGAGACAGTCTCACTATGTAGCCCTGGCTGCCTGGAACTCTGTATGTAGCCCAGGCTGACCAGGAAATCACAATGATTGGCTTTGGCTCTGCCCCTGCCTCCTGAGTACTAGAATTAAAGGTGAATAAAGACAACTAGAGCTACATAAGCCAACATTCTATTGCTGAGGGATACATCCCAGCCTTTAATTGTAATATCTATTTCTCAATGTCCTCAATTACAACTATGTAATATAAACCCAGAGTTGCCCTCCATTAAATTGTCCTGTTTGCATGTGAACAACTGCCTGTTACTATAGTTCCATGGGAACTGACACCCTCTTCTGGCCTTTGAGAGCACCAAGCATACATACAGCACACATAAATACATGCAAACAAAACACACACACACTCCAGGACAGGTCTCTTGCAGCCCAGAATATGCTGTAGAAGCAAGAATGACTTCTACTGCCACCTCCCGAGTGCTGGCATTATAGTTGTGAGGTTCCACACACAGCTCCAGCTCTACTTTTCAGATGCATTTGAGAAATGGTGAAGCACACAAACAGAGCAAGCCTGGAGCAGCTCACTTCCAGCTCCCCAGGCCCTAGTTCTGGCAACATTTTCTGATCAAAATGGTCTAGCTCTGCCTGAACTCTGTTACAGCCTTCTTTCCCTCCTCTCTGCTTTGACTGGATGGGAACCCATGAGGGACAGCCTTCCTCGTGCATCTGTTCCCACAGCTCCCTTGTGTAATCAGCAGTATGCCTACAGCATGCCTGCACCAGCACATGAAGGCATGAGTCAGGATCAAGAGCCAAGAGCGTGCCTGTGTGCTTGCATGCTTCTCTGGTTAACTAATTATTCTTTTCAAGTGTGCTGATGCTCCAGCCCAGAGCCCAGAACATGCTAAGCGATGAGGTGTCACTGGCCACACCCTCAGCTCTTCCTTGGTTGTTTATTTGTGACTGAATCACACTCTGAAGTTTAGATTGTTCTAGAATTCACTGTGTTATCCTGGCTAGCCTCTAACTTGTGGCAGTCCTCCTGTCTCAGTCTCCTGAGTGCTAGGATTATAGATGTGAGCCACTGTGGCTAACTACTTAAAATTAGCAAATCATGCAGGAAATACGGTAACTGATGATCAGATTCATTAGAGGGGCCGGAGAGATGTGTCTGTGAGTAAAGGTGCTTGCTGCTAAGGCGGGTCCAACCCCAGGACCACATCTGGTGAAAGGAGGGGTCCTAAGGACTAGCCAGCAGGCCTCTGACACATACATGCTGTGGTTCACACACCTTGAAAAAAATATTTTTTTAAAAAAATTTAATTATAAAGCATTTTGCTCTGAACTTTTCTGTCTCCACCATGACAGCTGTGTCGTGAGGTTAAAAATAAGAACTTCCCTTGGCTGGGTGGTGGTGGCACACAGCTTTAATCTCAGCAATTAGGAGGTAGAGACAGGCAGATCTCTGTGAGTTTGAGGACAGCCTGATCTACAAGAGCTAGTTCCAGGACAGGCTCCAAAGCTACAGAGAAACCATGCCTTGAAAAACCTAAAAATAAATAAGAACTTCCCTTCATATAAAGAAAATAGAAATAAGGACTGGCCTGGGGATGAAGCCTGGAGGGTAAAACACTTGCCTGGCAAGCACAAAGCTCTGATTTTGAGTCCTAGTACCACACTGTCAATGGTGGGTATAGTATGTGCCTGTAATCCCAGCACTCAGAAGCTGAAAGCAAGGGGTTCGGAGGATCAGAAGTTCAAGGTCATCCTCAGCTAAGTAGTGAGTTCCAGGTAAGCTTGAACTACATGATAGCAAGGAAAGGTGTCTCTGTTCTATTGCTGTGAAGAGACACCCATGACCAAGGCAACTCTTATTTTTTAAAGAAGTTTTTTTCAGATTTATTTTGTTTGTCTGAATATTTGCCTGAATGTTTGCATGTATACCACATACATGCCTGAGGAAGTGGTAAACCTCTATGTAGGTGCTGGGAATTAAATCCAGATCCTTTGAAAGAACAAGTACTCTGACAAAGAAGCAAAAAATATCAAATGGAAAAAAGAAAGCATATTTAACAAGTGGTGCTGGCATAACTGGATATCAACATGTAGAAGAATGAAAATAGACCCATATCTATCACCATGCATAAAACTCAAGTCCAAATGGATCAAAGACCTCAACATAAAGCCAAACACACTGAACCTTATAGAAGAGAAAGTGGGAAATACACTTGAACACATTGGCATAGGGAACCACTTCCTAAATAGAACCCCAGCAGCACAGACACCGAGGAAAACAATTAATAAATGGACCTCCTGAAACTGAAAAGCTTCTGTAAAGCAAAGGACATGGTCAACAAGACAAAACGACAGCCTACAGAATGGGAAAAGATCTTCACTAACCCCACATCAGACAGAGGTCTGATCTCCAAAATATACAAAGAACTCAAGAAATTGGACATCAAAAGAACACATAATCCAATTTAAAAAAATGGAGTACAGACCTAAGCAGAGAACTCTCAACAGAGGAATCTAAAATGGCTGAAAGACACTTAAGAAAATGTTCACCATC